GTTGGCTTTTTATATAACACAACCAGAAACTGAGACTCTAGCTGCTTGAGACAGGTTTGCACCCTGGACTTGCCAACTTCCACTCTAAAGCTGCCACACAAAGTATTCCCTGGGTGGGAAGGAAGTCTGTTAAAACAGCACGACTGCCACTTTTCACCCAGGCCAGCTCCTCGAGGCCAGAGGTAACAGAAAGAAGAGTGGGTGGAGCAGGAAGCCTACAGAGCCCCGGATTCCAGTCCAGCCTTGCCCCTGGCCAGCTCGGTGGCGCTGGGCACAGGTCACCGTGCTGGAACCTTGCTTGGCTGTCTGCAAAAATGAGTTGGTAGGGCTGTCTCTAACACCCTCTGATTTATATTGTCCCAAAACACAAAAACGGGTGGACCCAGCAATCCAGGCTCAGGCAGCCACCCAGAGAGATGGGTTTTGTTTCCTGGCCTAGAGGAGGCAGCAAATAACCTTTCTGTCACTATGTCTGGCAAGGATGAAACGATTTCAGCCCAAGATGTGAAATGGAAGAATTCGTGCTGTGTGTGTGGCTAAGTATGCACACCAGTGTGTGCGCAGAGGGCTAGACGTCTCCAGGGGGAGAGCCACGCTACCGGTTCGTGGAGCTGCTTAAGCACGTGTGCCATACTGATAATAAAGAGAATCGCCAAAGTGTGTGTGTGTGTGTGTGTGGCAGAGAGAGCAGAGCGGAGGGCTGGTAGGGGAAAAACCATTCATCGGATCATAGGTACTTTTTCATTTGCTATTTTTGGCAAATTTCTGAGGGTGTGATATATTTTTCATTACAACATATTTGTAGCATGACTGACTGACCATTGCTGCAGTCTTCCGCTGTGTCAGAAATGTTGCCAACTCAAGGACATTCTCTGTGAAAATTGTGAAGTTATCTCTAAGCACACTGTGTTATTTTGTTGCTAAGCTCTTGGCCTTATTTCATTTAAATGAATCTAATAGAGTACCTGATAGGTTTATTATTCCTGATATTATAGTTAATATATACTTCATGTGTATAAAGGTATATAATGCAAAATAGATTCGACCTTACATTATAGCATTAATGACTCTGCATTGTAAAATTAGTAGTGTGCCTGTTCAATCGTAGAAGGCATATTTTTCAGAAAGAAATAAATTCTTTAAGATTTGGATCGGTGAAAAAAGTAGTTTGTAGTTTCTTTAATATTTTTCATTAAAAGAAATTTTTGTTCATATGTATTTATTGCTAGGTGAACTCGTTGGTTATTCTTGGTAATGTTCTTATTCCCTTCCCAACCCCACTTCATTGCTGTGTATTTATTTATTTTTTATTTTATTAGGTTATGTTAATCACCATGCATCATTAGTTTTTGATGTAGTGTTCCATGATTCATTGTTTGTGTCGCTGTGTATTTATTTAATAGCTAAAAGTATCATCCTCAATTGAATGGAGGATGTTTCAGATCAGGGCACTGGTTATCTAATAATCCAAAAGATGGTTGACTTTCCCACTGTGCTGTCCCAAAAAATCAGTGCATATTTTGAGATTAGAGTGATCTATCATGCATAGAAACTCTTCATTATTACTCTACAAACTTTTTTAAAAAAAATAGATGTTCCGGATCAAGAAAGAAATGTGTTGTAGACTAAGAATTTCATCAGACTATAAAAGAAAAAAATAAGTCTATTCTCTTATAACAGTGTTTAAGATTTATATAGAAATAAGCTTTTTCCTTTGTTCAAAGAGAACAATAGCACAACCCTCTGTTGAGGATGATTTATCTCTTGCTAAAGCGCCCTAACTGTTTATGACAGCAAAAAGACAGGTATCATTAACCTTAGGTGTTGACAATTTAGAATTCATGAGAATGAGTTGGAAACACGATAGACAGGTCCCACCCGTGAGTTTGTGGAGAGCAGATGAGTCCTGTGAACCATTGCCCCTGATTCCTTCTGTTATCAGAAAAGAGTTCCCCTTGAATTTTCATAGAGGGCGGTTGGTTTTTAATGTCCCTTTTCTCTGAAGTTTAAGTGAAAATTGTTTTTAGGAAAAATGGATCTATATTCCAATCAAAGTGTTTTCCAAGGTCCTAGAATCAAGTTTATTTGTAAATCCATAATTTACTGAACCGTTTTACCTTCCTTGTGATTCATGTATAAATTAGTGATGAATTCCTGATTAATTTCTTTTTGCTGCTCTTCTTGGAGTTTAAAAGCTTGCATTCCTCAGGCTCGCCCTCTTCATAAATACCATCAGTAAATTTCAGCACCGAACTACGGCTCACACTCTTTTCTCCTCTACAGGATGATATAATCGGGCATTCTAAAGCAAATAAGAATTCGGTGACCCCAAAAAGGTACCAGATTAAAAACTACCAATAAAAAATGAAGTGTTGCTGGAGAAAATAGTCTGTAGCTATTCTTTGCTTTAGATACACATCACGACAACGTGAATTTGGGGTAAGATCTGGTCTTAGTGTGGCATGCATTAATTCATATTTTAAGATCTGTTGCATATATTTATCTTCTTATGAGCATATTCTTGAACTACGTTAGATCTACTTAAAATCTATTGCGAGTATTGATTTTTTTTCTTCAGAAAAATCAACATAGAGAGATGGTCTCTCTCCTCTTATAAAGCCCATTAGAGAAAACCAGGATTGTGTTGACATAAAGGAGAGTGTTTCCTAATGTACATGACATATTGTCATGGTTCAGAGGACTCAACTCTCGTTCAAATCTAATTAACCGATTTTGTCAAGCTTGGGCTCTAGTCTCCGTCTGCGCGGTGATCACACCTCTATCAACATTAACTCCCCTACTTAGTAACCAGAAGTGGCTAAAGGGAACTGCTGAAAATATAACTCTCTTAATGCTAGTTTACCCAAGTGGTAACATTACATCCAATAATTACATGAACTGTTTGCCTTTCATTGGGGCAGCTTTTTTTTTTTTTTTTAAGGTAATTTTCAATTACTATGAGACTGGAATTTAAGAGCGTATGATTTAGTTGAAATGTTTTAGTAAAACTTGGCAGATAAATCACATACCCTGAATTTCCTTAATAGCTGTTATGATTTTGACATCTTTTTGTTTTAAAGAAATTGCTGAAAATTTGACAAAACGAATGTGGATGGCTAAAATTGAACTTGACACTATCTATATGGGGAAAGAGGTGAAATCACTATATTTAGAAACGAATGCTCCTATCCCACCCCAACTACATATTCAGGTTAAATGTGTGCACATCCTGGTAGCTGGAACATCTGTTTCTAGCTTGTTGTTCCTCTTGGCTGCTTTTCAATTGGATTTCCTCGAGCAGGTCCCAGGCTTGTCACCGCAGCTAGGGTCTGTTAACCATCACCACTGGTCCTACATTAAGTAGGAGGTTCAGGGCTAAGCTAATAACTCGCCTGCCGTTCTGACTGATCACAGTGATGCTCTCGGCGGCCACTTATCATCAGGCTCCTCTGGGAGGGTGCTCTTCTTTGTCTGTACCTCTGGGGAGAATTGGTTTTGTTTCTCCTTGTTCCTGGAGTTACGTGTGAAAAGGCAGAGCTCTTTGTGGCTTCTAGGGAGCAGCTGTGCAGTGCTTTGCCTGTGGACCCACTGTCCGAGAGTCAAAGCAACTGAGTCTCAAACATGACACTCGCTATGCGCTTTCTCAGGAACCCTGTTATATGTATGGGATAGTTCTCTTCTCTTCCTCCACTCTGTAAAACAGAAAAGAAACTGTCACTGAATGTGGGTTAAAGGAAGCTAGGCGACTTTTAGAATGAAACAGAGTACTTTAGTGTTCCGAATCATGGTTATGATTTGGCATAAAGTCACAAGTGGAGGGGCGCCTGGGTGGCTCAGTTGTTGGGTGTCTGCCTTCGGCTCAGGTCATGGTCCCAGGGTCATGGGATTGAGCCCCACATCGGGCTCCCTCCTCGGCAGGAAGCCTTCTTCTCCTTCTCCCACTCCCCCCGCTTGTGTTCCCTCTCTTGCTGTGTCTCTCTCTGTCAAATAAATAAAATCTTTAAAAAAAAATAAATAAAGTCACAAGTGGAAAATGTTTGATGTTTATAGGGTAGCAAGCGTGTAGTCCACATCCCAGGGGGTGAGCTGGGGGGTGGGGTTGGAAGGAGATAGGCCATCGTAAAGATGCTTATAAAGGCTTTTATACAATTCGGTGACTTCCTCTTTATAAATGTTCCAGGCCGATTATAAAAGGACACGGCCACAGTCAAGGATAGATGAAAAGCACTCAGAAAGTTTGCTAACGGGCAAGGGGGACATGCTGAGTTTGCTTCCCATTTCCACTTTCTAGGTGGCTTCTGAGACCGCAGACAAACGTGGATTCAATCTAGCTCTCATATCCTGGGATTGACACCATCCTGGTGTGACTTCCACAACTGAGCTAGACATCAGCTCCCTCTGCCAAACCCTGCGCTGACTTTAAACTTGACAAGTAGTTCTTTCCCTATGGCAGGCAGCTCACAGGGACTTCGCCTTTGCCAAACTTTGCTCTGGTCCCTTGTATGGATCTATTGCAAGGTGAGACACAGATACTGAATGAGTAACCTCAGGAAATAATAACACCAGAGGGATCAGATATGGTTCTCGAAGCACAGGAAATAAGACCAGGATGCAGTACTATTCTGACACACGTGGTGTTCCTTCTTTTGAGGGGCGTGGGGAAGGGAGGTGGCCTTTATCCAGATTTCTGACTACCGAAGTCCTGAGTAAACCTAGCTCTGGGTCTTACTACATAGGATAATAACAGATATTTTGTTCTGATTTTATCTATCTCCTTTGCTTATCCATTTTATAAATACTTCTGGAAAAGGATCCAAACTTTGGGAATTGTAGTTGTTAAAATCTGCTCGTTAGCCTGATTTTAAGGCACAGAATTCCATTGTTAAAGTGGTTTGAACTTTAAAGAGAAAATGAATTGATGACTTAAAGAATCAGTGAAAATTCTAGCATTTTGGGGATGAGCCTGTGATTGCCTTTTTGATCCTCCTGCTGCTAACCAGTGATTGTGCAGAAGATGCTGGCTGAAACTTACTGAGCATTTACTAGGTAGCCAGTCTTGTACTGAGCACTTTACCTGTGTTATTTCCCTGAATCTTCACAAGAATCCCACAAGGTCTCTGTTGCCTTTATATTTACTGAGCCCAAACAGTGCAACTGTTCTAAAAGTTCATCAGAACAGCAAGCATCTGCTTCTCCTGTTTAAGGAAACTCAGAGGTGGGTGACGGGATGGGGGAGAGAGGGGATGGAGATTAAGGGGTGCACTTGTCGTGATGAACACGGGGTGATGTATGGAAGTGTTGAATCACTATATTGTACAACCAAAACGAATATAACACTGCATGTTAACTACACTGGATTTAAAATAAAATGTGAAATAAATAAATAAAACTGCCACCTACCAAAAAAAAAAAAGAAAAGAAAGAAAGAAAGAAGAAAGAAAGAAAGAAAGAAAGAAAAAGAAAGAAAGAAAAAAGGAAGGAAGGAAAGAAGGAAGGAAGCTCTGAGAAAACCTGGATCCTTCCTTCCCTTCAGCCCCACTCTGTCCTTTCCCTTTTAAGCCGAGGGAAACTTATCATACCTAAGAATGAGGTGAACCTGAGAAAAGCCTCGAAGACAGATGATGTAAGTTGTAAAATCACGTGGAACTGTAGTTCCAGCCCTGAGCTTTGCAGAAGAAATGAAAAAGATCTGGAGGGAGGAAAAAGGCAGCAGAGAGTGGCTATAGAAAGGAAGACCAATAAATGTGGTCTTGAAATTTTCAAGACAATTAAGATGATCTTTATTATGACATCTTTCTAACTAATCTATCATGCTCTGTATTAGAGTGACTTTCTTTTGTTTTGGGACAGATGCAATTATGTATAATAATAATGAATGAATTCCCCCCAAGAACAGTAACATTTAAACACCATGACTAAATCCAGACTATTTCCAAATACTGGGGAAGAAGGGAGATACATATTACTAACTAGCAGTATTAATTCAAATTCCTTACTTAATTTTATTTTATTATTTTGTTTTATTTTCTTGAGAGAGAGAGAGAGCAAGCATGTGTGCATGAGCAGTCGGGGGGGTGGGGGTGGAGGGGCAGAGGGAGAGAGAATCCCAAGCTGGCTCATGCTCAGTGCAGAGCCTGCCAGGGGGCTTGATCTCATGACCCTGAGATCATGACCTGAGCCAAAATCAGGTGTCCAACACTTAACCAACTGAGCCACCCAGGGGCCCCACACTCCTTACTTCATTTTAAAAAAAGCATTTTGTTTTAAAGGATTTTATATATTACATACATTATTTCATTGACACTAAATAAAAGTAACTGCTCATACTTTCTGCCTGTATTGTAGTTTTCTTCTTATTTTAGGATTTTGTTTTACTTTGACACAGTCTACTTAGGCACCAGATTCAATTTTGCATCCTAAACTCCCCCCCCTCACCTTAGCATTCTGTTTTAAGCACAGCATTTGCTATAGTCTTAAATATGATATGGAGACAAGGTTTTGTTTGTTTTAAAGCTTTTATTTCTAAGTAATCTCTATACCCAACATGGGGCTCGAACTCACAACCCCAAGATCAAGAGTCACATGCTCTACCTGAGCCAACCAGGCACCTCCAGAGACAAGGTTTTTAATGACCATATAATATTCTCTCCAGTAGGTCATCCAGAGTTACCCCATAGCTCATATTTTGGGGTTGTTGGCAATGTTTTACTAGCAAATATGTTTATATGTATAATCATTTTAATAACTAGGATTTCCTCTATGTTATAGTCCCAGAATCACTGAGTTCAATGGTGTGCACAGTTGAAGAAATCTGAGGTCCTTTAATTTTTCAATAACAGGAAGAAAGCCCTCTTTCAAGGTTTTAGTTTAGCAGAGGAGCTGAAACTTTTACTACAGGGAATTTGCCTATCTGACCCATGTCTTATTAATATATGCAGTGGTTCCTGGCTTATTCAGAAACACTAAGGTGATAACCATAAAATCTAAAGTGAAAAAGAACCACCTCCTACTCTGTGCTCAATACATATTTTCCAGAGCAAAAAAAAAAATTCTGATTTATCTTCATATATTTATAAATTTGGCTTGCAAATATATCTCAGGGAAGGTAGTAGATGGAATTAGGAGGATGCAAGAACAGAGAGGGTGTATTAATAGGTGTGTAATGATATAAAATTTATTCTGGGGGTAAGGTAAAACTTAATGGTTCATAAATAGCAAATTCATTATATTTTTAATACTCGGATTATATTAACACCATATAACATCTTTATGGTACCATTAGTAGCATTTAAATCCTTGACTCAACTTGAAAAACAAACATTTCCAAATCTTGACCATGAAATGATTAGCCAAATAAAATG